CGCCCGCCGTATGGAGTCGGCTTCTATGATTACCAGTCACAGCATTGTTTGTTTTTTTTCCCTGCCTTCTTTTCTTCTCTCGTCCTCCGCTTTCTCGTTTTTTTTTTTTTTTTTTTTTTTTTTTTCTCTCTCTCTCTCTCTCTTTCTGTCTCCACTTGCTCCCCTTATTTCGGCAATGCGCTGTTTCGCTGGCTGCGCTGAGTGGTGTCGCGCACGTCTCTCGGCTTGTCCTCCCTCCTTCTGCGCCTCCTTCTGTGGCCAGTGCTTTCTTTTTCTGGCAGGGACCAGACTTTAAAGCCGTCGGCGTGTGGGTCAGCCGAAATGTTGGCGGCTGAGCTACCCTCGCTCCCTCCTCGGCCCCCTCTGCTCTGCCTCTCCTGTTTTTTTTTCCCACCTGTCGGGGTACTTCCAGGCGCAGCCGGCCATCCTGGGTGGACGCCGGCGTGTCGCACATCTGCTGGCAAACTCGCGGCGCCGCCCGCGCTGAGGCTGAGCGCAGCAAAGAAAGAGGTGTCCTCCACAGTGGGCGTGCTCAGTCCGACGGGTTGGCACATCATGCATATTGCTGCCTTTCAAAGATGGTGGGCGAATTTTTGGAAAACCGCGATGCTGCCGCAAACAAGCGTGAATGCCACGAAATTGTCGCATGCGAGTTCGAGCCTCGCGACGCTGCATGCCCCGAACGTCAACGCCACGAGACTGTCGCCACGCACGCGGGGCATCGCGAAACTGCCGCCCACGAGTGTGATTATCACGAAGCTGCTTCCCACGAGCTTGAACACCGCGAAGCTGCGGCCCACGAGCGCGAACGCCACGAACTCGCCGCGTACCAGTGCGAACGCCACGAAGCTGCTGCGCACAACCGTGAACACCTTGGAAATGCCGCCCGCCGGCGTGATGACCACGACGAAAATGATGTTCACGAGCGTGAGCGCCTCGGGAGTTGTGCAGGCTTGGACGAACATGATCTCAACGAAGCTGCCGCCCACAAACATGAAGGCCACGAAGCTGTCGCCCACAATCTTGAAGACCGTGATGGCGTCGCCCACGCGCGGGTAGACGATGGGCCGACTTTCCACGCGCGATGTCCGCAACGTTTGTGCTTCCAGCGGGGGGGACCAAAATCTACCAATGAACGCTGACACCGCAAAGCCGCCAAAAAGCCTACATGGTACGATGAATCTATACATATAGCATGAAACGCCTTACGGCGGGCGCCGCCGACCCTTAAAGGAGACGACGACGACGACGACGACGACGACGACGACGACGACGACGACGACGACGACGACGACGACGACGACGACGACGACGACGACGACGACGACGACGACGACGACGACGACGACGACGTTCGCGAGCCCTTGTCGGGGCCATGTGGGCCATGTTGGTCTCGGGCCCCCATTGGGGCCCCCTTCCGGGAACGCCCCCAGCGGTCCCCTCCCGGGACCGCCCCCTTCCGACGTGGAGGGGGTCAAGGGCCTTCTTTCCGACTCGAGTGGTGTTCCCCTCTTGCGGTGTGGGGCTCAGTTGGGCCGTCGCGTCGGGGAAGGAGAGGGTCACGACCCCCGGGCCCCCCCCCGTCGCGCGGAGGGATCAGAGGGAAAAGGATCCCTCTTGACTCGGTTGCGAGGTTGTTCGATTTTCGTCTGGTTGGGTCTCTTGAGGGGGAGGGCCCAGGGAAAGAGGGAGCCCAGGGACTCCGACGGCGACTCAAATGGAAAAACGTATCACACACGCTGACAGCGACAGCGGATTTCGGGGCATGCAAGCAGTTCTTGTCGCACCCATCTTCGGTGCGGAGAACACGCATCGAAACGGTCGTCGCCGTGGGCGGCAGGCCGACTGGAAGTAGGGCTAAAATTTGTACTGACATGTTTGGGCTCGGACGGACAGAGTTTACCCAGGCTGGGGGCAAGATCGGGAGGTCTGGTCGCGGAGAGGTGGAGGAACAACTAATCAATGGTAATTCCGTTAAGGGCCAAGAGAAGTAACCACAGTTTGTTGCGGTAATTCAGGGCCTCCTTTGCCTCAGGAGTGAGGTCGATCATGCGTGTCCCTGGCCCTTAATTCACAACAGCGCGTCGGATTCAAAGCGAGAGCCCAGCACCGGAGAAAGATGGGAACGCAGGGGGAAGATGTTTGCTGACGGTGGGTGTGCCTTCTACCGTGTCTAGCCGTTGGAAAAGGGCCGAGGGGGCCCAGACCCCATTGAGTCGGGGGGGAGGGGAACTAAAAAATTCTCCTGGCGAAGGACCCGACCATATGCAATTGCGAGTACCGCAGATATGAGCCCCGCCTTCAGTGGAACTCCTGGGGGGTCACGAAACGCGTGAGGGATGTGCCCACATGGGTGCGGTGGCGCCATGCGAGCCCTGCCACTGGGGCCTTCGGTGGAGCTCCCTATGGGGCCGTGTGGGGTGTGTGCCGAAATTGGTGCGGTGGCGCCATGCGAACCCTGCCACTGGGGCCTTCTGCGGAGCTTCCAGTGGGGCCACGAAACGTGTGAGGGGTGTGCCGAAATGGGTGCGGTGGCGCCACGCGAACCCTGCCGCTGGGGCCTTCGGTGGAGCCCCCTTTATGGGGCCACGTAACGTGTGAGGGGGGTGCCGAAATGGGTGCGGTGGCGCCATGTGAGTCCTTCCACTTGGGCCTTCGGTGGCGCTCCCTGTGGGGTCACGAAACGTGTGATGGGTGTGCCGAAATGGGTGCGGTGGCTCCATTCGAACCCTGCCGCTGGGGCCTTCAGTGGAGCTCCCTGTGGGGCCACGAAACGTGTGAGGGGTGTGCCGAAATGGGTGCGGTGGCGCCATTCGAACCCTGCCGCTGGGCCCTTCGGTGGAGCTCCTTATGGGGCCACGTGGCGTGTGACGAGTGTGCCGAAACAGAGACATGCGCAGGGCAGAGGCAAGGAATGGGAGGAGGGGGAGGAGCGCGGGAGGTGAGGTGAGGTGAGGAACGTGGGGCGCTGTGTCTTCGAAACGAGGACCCAACACCACAGGATGGTTAGGAAATTATCCTGGCGAAGGACCCAACCATATGAAGTTGTGGGTACCGCAATTGTGAATATCTTCTTCGGTGAAGCTCCCTAAGGGGCCACGAAGCGCTGCGCTGGGCGGGGGGGAACGCATGCGGGCGGTAGCACTGGGTCCGTCGGTGAAGCTCCCTATGAGGCCACGAAGCGCTGCACTGGGTGGGTGAAAATACTAACTTATGTGTGTGTGTGTGTGTGTGTGTGTGTGTGTGTGTGTGTGTGTGTGTGTGTGTGTGTGGGACGCATGCGGGCGGTCCCATTGAGGGCTTCGGTGGACCTCCCCATGAGGCCACGAAACGCTGCACTGGGTGTGTGAAAATACCAAATTTGGAGTGTGGGACGCATGCGGGCGGTCCCATTGGGGGCTTCGGTGGAGTTCCCTATGGGGCCGCGAAGCGTTGTAAAGGGCGTGTGAAAGTGCCAAATTTGGTGTGGGGGACGCATGCGGGCGGTCCCACTGGAGGCTTCGGTAGAGCTCCCTGTGGGGCCACGGAGCGCTGTACTGGGTGGGTGACAATGCCAAATCGGGTGTGGGGGACGCATGCGGACGGTCCCACTGGGGGCTTCGGTGGAGCTCCTTGTGGGGCCACGGAGCGCTGTACTGGGTGGGTAACAATGCCAAGTTGGGTGTTGGGGACGCATGTGGGCGGTCCCACTGGGGGCTTCGGTGGGGCTCCCTATGAGGTCACGAAGCGTTGTACTGGGTGGGTGAAAATGCTAAATTTGGTGTGGGAGGCGCATGCGGGCGGTCCCACTGGGGGCATCGGTGGGGCTCCCTATGAGGTCACGGAGCGTTGTACTGGGTGGGTGAAAATGCCAAATTTGGTGTGGGAGGCGCATGCGGGCGGTCCCACTGGGGGCTTCGGTGGAGCTCCCTATGAGGTCACGAAGCGTTGTACTGGGTCGGTGAAGATGCCAAATTGGGCATGGGGGACGCATGCGGGCGGTCCCACTGAGGGCTTCGGTGGAGTTCCCTATGGGGCCACGAAGCGCTGTACTGGGTGGGTGGACATGCCAAAGTGGGTGTGGGGGACGCATGCGGGCCGTTGTACTGGGGGCTTCGGTGGAGTTCCCTATGGGGCCACGAAGCGTTGTATTGGGTGGGTGAAAATGCCAAATTGGGTGTGGGGGACGCAAGCGGGCGGTCCCACTGGGGGCTTCGGTGGAGTTCCCTATGGGGTCACGAAGCGATGTACTGGGTGGGTGAAAATACCACATTGGGTGTGGGGGACGCATGCGGGCGGTCCCACTGGGGGCTTCGGTGGGGCTCCCTATGGGGCCACGAAGCGCTGTACTGGGTGGGCGAAAATGCCAAATTGGGTGTGGGGGACGCATGCGGGCCGTTGTACTGGGGGCTTCGGTTGAGCTTCCTGTGGGGCCACGAAGCGTTGTACTGGGTGTGTGAAAATGCCAAAGTGGGTGTGGGGGACGCATGCGGGTCGTTGTACTGGGGGCTTCGGTGGAGTTCCCTATGGGGCCACGACGCGTTGTATTGGGTGGGTGAAAATGCCAAATTGGGTGTGGGGGACGCAAGCGGGCGGTCCCACTGGGGGCTTCGGTGGAGCTCCCTATGGGGCTTCGAAACGTGTGAGGGATGTGCCGACATGGGTGTGGGGGACGCATGCGGGCGGTGGAGAGGAGGAGGAGGGGGAAGAGGAGGAGAAGAGGAACGCGGGGACCGTCTCGTCAAAACGAGGACCCAACACCACAGGATGGTTGGGAAAAACACGGCGGAAGTTGCTATGGCTGTCGGTGGGTGTGCATTCTTGCCGTTTGGTGGACAATCTGACAGCATGGGCCCGTGCTTGAAGATGTTCGCCTCCCCGCAAGGGATGCCACCTCCCTGTCTGAAGTCGAGCGGATCCGAAATGGGCATGGGGGTGAGGAGGGGTGATCGGTCACGAGGTTGGGTCACCCTTTCATCCAACATGATTCATTGTGAGGGTGAAGGGGGCCGCCCGTAATACCCTAATTGTACAGCCATGGACATCCTACTCCTTCTCCTCTCTGTCTCGTGCCCTAACCGCTTTGGCTCAAGCATCTCGTGCCCGAATCCGGCAGCGCTCTCGTGGCACAGGCACACCGTAGCTCGCCACAAACAACACGATGACATGAGGACCTCTGCCGCGGGCGTCGAGAACGCGAAGACGCGCTGCAGCCACGCTGGTCTCTGCGTAAGGTTCTGGCACGGCCTGAGCGGCGTGGTGCACAGAGCGCTCGCTGTGCTGGTGGTCGTTCTGACTTTGAGCGTGCTCGTAGCCGCAATCGCGAGCGGTGGCAAGGGGACCGTCAAGAAGTGCGAGGACGAGGTGGACCCCTTCGTGCGCATGACGCATCTGGGCGCCGCGGAGGCGGCGGAAGCGCACCGCGGCATCTTCGCCGTGCAGGTCGTGGCCATGGCGGTCACCGCGCCATCCGCGTTCAGCTTGCTCGCTTTCGCGGCCACGAGTCACATGTGCAGAGTAGCAGAGTATGCGGCCTGTCTGTGGTTGGAAGTGATGACTTTCGCGATGTACAGTTTCCTCCAGTGCAACGGTATGAACGGGATGCCATTCGCCATATTTAGTGGATTTCTGCTTCCCGTGAATATGTCACTATTCTATCTGCTGCTGCTGCGTCAGGTAAGGGCGTTGGAACGAAGTTCGTTTCTTGATCTCGGCTCCCTGCGCCTTCGCCGAGTCATGCTGGCTATGTTAATCTTCGCCATGTCCGCGTTCATCTGCAGCAGGTTCGCGCGCGGACCTTCAGGCCATCCCTCGCGCATCATAATGGGCACTCTCGTCTGGCTTGGGGAGGTAACGTTCTTGATGGCGTTGGTCGTGTTCTTGCAGGCGTTCTGGCGAGTGCTGGCGATGGCGCGCGAGACGCAGCGGCGAGGGGTGTCCACCGAGGAGATCAATAGCGCCCCTCGGGTTCTAATATTCCAGATGGTGGGATCATCCATGGCGGTCGTGAGCTTCTTCGTCGCACTCATGGTCAGAATGTGGGCATCGGATCTGGCTTGGCCAATACCGGGGCGTCCTGTGGACGAGAGGACACCCGAGTTCTTGATCGCGGTGCAGTGTGTAAGCTTGGTCGACACCACGTTGAACGCCTTTGCCGCCCTGGCTCTCAGTGGAGCTTGCTTCGGGGCACTCAGCGGAGGCTTGTCCACGATCCGATTGGCGCGTCAGCGCCACCGCACTTGGAAACAGTTTTCCGCGGAGTGGAACCCACATACTGATACGGACTGGAACGCCAAAGTCGCCGAGTTGGCCGGCAGGGGCTTCACGCTGCAGGCGCTGCTGGAGTTTTATTGCAGGCTGGGCAAGGACGTGATGCCGTACTTCGACCCTTCGAAGCACACCACGGAGGATGTGGTCCGAGGCGCCATCATTCCACTGTCGGCAGATAGCAAAACATCTATGGCTGAAATCATGATGGGCCACAGCCCTGTGCAGCCCGACAAGATGGTGACTCACAACTGGGGAAACATCTTTGCCGATCTGGTTGCGGCTATTGTGTCAGACGCTCTTTCCGAGAGTGAGTACTGCAAGGTGGCGGCCCTGCTCATTCACGACGTCAACACCCTTATGAGGTGGGTTGCCCAGGCAAAAGTTGGATCTCGAACGTACTGGGTATGCGCCTTCTCGGTGAATCAGCACACCAGCATCTGCGCGACAAATCTGTGTTCAAGGAGGGATTCAGTGACGGGCGAACCCTACCCCCTCTGCCCATGCGGCCTGCCGAAAACGTTCAACACCACGCCGTCTCTCCCGAGCGATAGGCAGCGCTCGTCTACCAGGAGTGAGATGAACAAGTTTGATCAACTGATGATGTCTCTGTCAGCCGGCAACGACAAGTTCGCCCAGGTGGTTGCAGTCGACAGGCGCTTCGACATCTTCAACCGGGCTTGGTGCGTGGCCGAGATTGCCGCCGCCCACTCAACAGGCATGTCCCAGTCGCTACGGCTGCCGTCCCTGCCCCACCTGGAGAAGAGGCAGGGCGGACTCGCCCGCCTGTCGATCAGCAGCGCGCAGGCCAGCATGCCACAGGAGAAGGAGGCGATCTTGGGCAGCATCCCAGACCACGAGGCATTCGACCGCAGGCTTCGAGAATTGCTGATCGGGCAGCTGCTCCCGTCTTGGTCGAGGCTCGACTCGTGCGACCAGATGCTCCAGGCGGGGCGAATCGCTCGCTGGCAGAGCGTCGCGCAGAAGTACCCCGCTGTAGCCTGGCACTTCGGAGTTGATAGTGATGATCTTGGCGACGAATTAGAAGTGCAGCTGTGACGGGTCAGCGCACCGACATCACCACCTGCGCCACCCCCGTCTCGGCCGAAGCTGGAATAATGCCGCACGGAGTCTCTTGCAGAGTGGGCCTCCGGGTGGCATTTCTGTGCCTCGGCACCAGTGGGTGGTAATTCTAGACGCTTCGCGTAACCCATCAGCAACGATGTCCAGGCGAGTTGCCCCGATCAGGGATGTGGGAGAGCATGCAGTGGAATAGTGGGCTGGGGAAGCTGTCGTACCCCGAGCGAAGAGGATGGAGGACAAGAGGAAGAGGAGGATGGAGTCAGATGATGACGATGATGATGCTGCTGATGATGATGCTGCTGATGGTGATGGTGAAGATGATGCTGATAATGCTGATGATGCTGATGATGGCGATGCTGAGGCTAAAGATGATGTTGATGCTGCTGATGATGATGCTGATGATTATGATGATGATTCTGATGATCATGATGATGATGCTGATGATGCTGATGATGATTATGCTGATGCTGATGCTGATGCTGCTGCTGCTGATGATGATGATGGTGGTGGTGATGATGATGATGAGGAGGAGGAGGAGGAGGAGAAGGAGGTTGAGGAGGAGGAGGAGGAGGAGGAGGAGGAGGAGGTTGAGGGTGAGGAGGAGGAGGAGGAGGAGGAGGAGGAGGAGGAGGAGGAGGAGGAGGATAATGCTGGATCATGCTGCGACGCCACCGACGTGGCTTCAGTCACTGTCACCGCTATCATCGCCGTCGCCACTCGACCCCTGCACAACGCGAGCACCAGCGAGCCCTGCATGCCCCTGACCCTGGGCCCTGAGTCGAGCAGCGACACCCTCAAGCGAACCATTACCTGCTCTGGCAGCGGCAGCGGCAAAGACAGCAGCCGCATCCTCGCCCGCGGGTGGGGCGCGGGCATGGTCCTCGGGCACCTGCATCAAGTCGGCGAGGTCTCCAGAGGGGCGGCTGGAGGAGCAGGCCAGATACTCATCGATCACTGAGCCCTCTTTCAAAGGGGCACCACTCCAACTCTCAGTGCTTTCCCGAGGGGGTGGCGGGAGGGCTCTCGCAGCAGCATCCAGCGCCGCCGCCTCACGCAAGGCCACCGGTGGGCCTCGATAAGACGGGAAAGGCCCCGTTTAATTCGCTTGAGGTTTTCTCCCCCCTTTTTCGTAGGGGGGGCACACGCATTCTGAAGCCATCGACCGTCAGTCGTGGCAGTGAAACCACACCTCTGGCAGAAAAATAACCCGTAGGCTTTCATTCTCGCGAGGCGGTGGCTGGGGTGAAGCTTCACGGCGCCACACCACGCCTCTCCCGAGATAGCCTCAAAACCTTCTCCGAACTCTGGCATCAGACCCAGCACTTCTGGAGGACCCATCGGCGGCGACGGTATCGGGATTCGGCACTGGGTCGAAGCAATAGCGATCACTTGGCTTCTCGGGACGATGACCTTACAACAATCGCACCTCCAGCGACCAGCGAACGGGCGAAACTTGTGCACACTATCGCGGACCGCCTGAACGAATTTTGCGGGCTTGCGGACCTTGGGCACTGGCGGAGCTCTAACCCCTTCCCAAGGCTCAACCTCGAGCGCCAACAAGAGTGCCCGTCCGGCCCGCTTTCTCACCAGTGCCGCCGTCGTGTCCCACAAGGCAGTCCGAGTGGGGGGAGAAGCGACACACCACTCCCACGCCCACTGGGCAGCAACCCCCGCAAAGACGTCGGCACCAGCGTTGCCCTGACACATAAAGAGCTCAAGTTGAGAGGTTACCGACTGCAACTTGTCATCAGTGTTGGACGGGGTCCAAAAAAGCGAAACATCCCCAGGGCCGCGGTTCGCAACGCCCGAGCGACACGGACCCAAAGGTCACCGTTCGGTATTAGTATTGAGGAGAAACAGCACGGCCACCGTGCCAATCAGAAATCAAGCTCTTGCAGTCAGTAACATAGCCAATCGGACCGTGCGAGTGTTCTAGAGCAAGGCAGAAGGCTTGAATCTCGGCTCTCGGAACCGTCTGCCGTCTGCCCGACAAAATCTGACCTACACCGCATTGAGGCACCCAGGAGTGTGGCGACGAGGGATCCTGACAAATCAAGACCACCGCCGAGCCGCATCGCCTACGCCTGGGGTCAGCGCTAAACTCGCCACCATAACCATCTCCGAAGATGAAAACCACTGGGCCTCCAGGCTCCGAGCAGAAATCAGAAATGCACCCGTCCCCAAGAAGGACCTCCTGGGCCGTTTCGGCCGTCTCAACAAACGTGGGCACCATGAGGTCCTTCGAGGGCACTCCCCTGAGCCACAACGCTGGCTGGGCCTCGAGGCCCACGAGGGCCTGGGGAACCAGAACATCAGTTTAGGAAACACACATCATGCCCGCAATTCTCGGGGCACAACCAACTCCTGTGAGCTAAAGTCTCAGGGCTCTCCCTACACCTGGGGCACAGCGGCGGGCAGTCATAGCCTGCGGCAATCTGCTTCTCACGCGTCCACTGGTCCCCCGAGATGACGGCAAGGTCGGCAGCCCACTCGTCGAACTTGGCCTTGGCGGCCATGCGGTTCAGCTCGATGCGAACCGTCGTCATATCAGCGCCATGCTTCAAATCCTCACCAGCGACGTGCCGTGAGGCCTCCTTCCATTGCAACTGCACGCTATCATCCATGAAAACGGCGAGCATATTCTCGAAGTAGGCTGGCACTGCCGTGGCAAACTGCTCGTCGCCAAACGCGGGGAAGAGCCAATCGTCAGCATTGCCATCCGCCATCGGCCGTGACCATCCATCTGGACTCTGTGGATCCCATCCAACCTGAAGAAGTGTGGCTTGTATCGCTGCGATGGGGCCGCGCACGTCCTTCCACTTCACAACCAAACTCTCGCTCACACCACTACGTCGCCTCGCAAGAGTCCTCGGCCACATCTTCCGAATACGAGGGTGTACGGACAGCTGCGCCAGCCACAACGCGATCCACTCCTTAATAATCTGCCTCCTCAAATCAATGCCAGGGTCAGAAACTCCAAAGACAGCCTGCAACACAGTATTCAAGCACCTGCCACGTTTGGTGCCCGCAACACTCGCAGCCGCATCACGTCGCAAGGCCAACAGAGAAGATGGAGGAGTTCCCATTATCTGATGCCCGTAAACTGCAGCTGACAACACCCCAGTGCTGAAGAGTTTCTTGGTGATAAGCCTGGACTTGGGGAGCTGGCATAACCTCATCACTTTGTGCTGTCCCCTCCTCGCCTGCGCACGACGCTTCCTCATTCGCGGTGCCACCCTCCGACGCCCTGCAGCAGCATCAGAGCCTAGGTCGACAGTGGAGCGTACGTATTACACAGGGAGGAGGGGGAGGGGGAGGGGGGGGCGGTGGTGCACGGTGACCTTGCAGTCAATGCGTGCGCACGGGAAACGGCACACGAACGCACGCAGCTCAAAACTTGAACTCGAGGGAACCCGACCAAGGCGCGCTGCGCCTACGGCGCTTCTCACGTGCGGCCATAATGCTAGCATGAGTTTGGGCGAGCTGCTCTGCGGTGAGAGCGCGCGGAGGAGGAGGAGGGAGTGGAGGAGCAGGCGGAGGAGGAGGAGGCGGGATACTAATAATAATAATACTAATACCAATACGGAGAAGCATATTATTATACTAATAGTATCAAGGATACCACGAATGCTAATACGGATAATAATAGTAAGCACAAGACTACGACTAGTACGAGCACCAATAAGAAGACTAACAACCAACCAACGACTCCTATTACTAATTCGATTAATGCTAATAAGCGTAATACTCATAATACGAATGGTAATAGTAAGACGAATACTAAGCATACGAATAATGCTATTCCTAATAGGGTGGAAGTGTTAAGACGAACGCTACGGCTAATACTAATACTAACACTACTAATACGAATGAGAATGCTAAGAAGAAGGCGAAGAGCAACACCACTAATACTAACACGAATACGCAGAATAATAACACGAATGCCACTAACAATTTTAACAGTGAAGCGAGCAATGCTAACCATACTGCTAGGAATACTGCTCATACTAAGAATTCTAACAACAATGGTAATGATATTATACTAACATGAATATTATTAATAACAATACGTCGAGTCCTGATTATTTGAATGGCAAGAATACTAGTCTTGATACTAAGAAGATGAGTAAGACGACGAATACTAATACTATGAAGAAGGAGAATGACATTACTAGTACTAATACGAACGAAACTACTACCAAAACTTAGAATAAGCAGACTGACAATATTATTATTAATAATCGTATTAACAATACTACGAATAACAATATTAGACAATTAGCCGGACGAAGAGCCCAACCATATGCAGATGTGAGTCCCGCAATTGTGATTCACTTTTTCGGTGGTGATCCCTATGGGGCAACGAACCGTGCTAGGGGTGTGCCGAAATGAGTGGCGTGGTACACAATGCGAACGAACACGATTGATCTGAGTACGTCGGGAGACTGAGCGCGGGTGAATCTGAGCGCGAGTGCGTCTGACTGTGAATGAATCTGCGTGCGAGCGAGTCTACGTGCATGAATGCGAGTATGACAAAGCATGGTGTAATTGTATATGAATGTCAATAGTTTGAGAATGACTGCCTCTGGGTACTCGTGACGCTGGGCGTGGCCGCCGCAAGGAGCTTCCCCGGGACTCCCCGACGGCATCGCCCGCGCGCCGCGACGCCAATGTCGGCGCGCCCCCCCCGCGAGGATCGCGCCCGCTTCCTCCCCTTCTTTTACTCCCTCTTTGCCCGCGCACTCAAAAGTCCAAGGCTGCGGGCGCAGCGCGGCGCGGAGTCCCCGCGACGCGCGCAGGTCGCCCCAGAGGGGTCCCAGTGACGCGCGCGGGTCGTCCGCTGCGCGGAGCACAGAGAACTAGCTGGCTGGCTGATAGCGGGCAAGGCTCTTGCCGCTGGGCAGAGCGACGACGGGCGAGCGAGGCGCGGAACTCCGACGGCCTCCGACGGAGGTGTACTGGGTGGGGGAGACGCATGCGGACTGCGCCACGGGGACCTTCGGTGGAGCTCCCTAGGGGGCAACGACACATTGTACTGGGTGGGGGAACCGCATGCGGACTGCGCCACGGGGACCTTCGGTGGAGCTCCTTATGGGGCCACGAAACGCTGTGCTGGATGAGGGAGCTGCATGTGGACTGCGCCACGGGGACCTTCGGTGGAGCTCCGTATGGGGCCACGAAACGGTGTGCTGGGTGAGGGAGACACATGCGGACTGCGCCACGGGGACCTTCGGGGGAGCCCCTATAGGGCCACGAAGCGCTGTGCTGGGTGGGGGAGACGCATGCGAACTGCGCCACGGGGACCTTCGGTGGAGCTCCCTGTGGGGCCACGAAGCGCTGTATTGGGTGAGGGAGACGCATGCGGACTGCGCCGCGGGGGCCTTCGGTGGAGCCCCATCATGGGGCCACAAAACGCTGTACTGGGTGGGGGAGACGCGTGCGGACTGTGCCACTGGGACCTTCGGCGGAGCTCCTATGGGGCCACGAAACGTGTGAGGGGTGTGCCGAAATGAGTGGATGATGACGACGATGATGACGTTGATGATGATGATGGTGATGATGATGATGATGATGATGCTGATGCTGATGATGCTGATTGTGATGGTGATGTTGATGATGCTGCTGCGGATGATGATGGTGATGATGATGATGCTGATGATGATGATGATGCTGATGATGATGATCATGATGATGATGATGATGATGATGATGATGATGATGATGAGGAGAGGAGGGAGGAGGAAGGAGGAGGAGGAGGAGACGCGGGGACCGTCTCTTCAAAACGAAAACCCAACAACACAGGTTGGTTGGGAAAAAAAGGAGGAGGAGCAGGAGGGGGAGGAGGAGGAGGGGGGAGGGCAGAGGCCCCACGGCCTCCTCGGGCGCGCCCTCTTCGTGGAGGGCGGCGGCAGCCTCGGCCTCCGCCGTCTGAGAGGCCACCTCTGCCCAGGCCTGGGCGCCTTGGCCCACGTCTGGCTCGGGCGGGGGCGCGGACGGGGGCGGCATGGGAGGGGGAGGGATGGGAGCAGAAGCGGAAGAGGCCCACAAACTCGGGGGGGAAGTGGTGGGAGGGGGCAGGGGAGGGGGAAAGAGGAGGAGGATGAGGAGCAGGATAATGCCTCCTCCTCCTCCGCCTCCTCTCCGGCGCCGATGAATTCAGGCGGCTCGCGGGGCAACGGCCCGGCGGGCGGACAAGGCCCTTCCGGCTGCCCTGGGGGTCCCTTGCGAGGGTGCCGGTCTGTCCTGGAGGGATGAGCCCCCAGGGCCGAGGCGACGGGGAGGGGGATGGGGGGAGGGGAGGGGGAGGAAGGAAGGGGGAAAGGGAGGAAACACGTTTTGCATAGCGGAACGTTTCTTGGTAGGCATTCGAGGCATTCGAGGAGCAGGCGGAGGAGGAGGATGAGGAAGAAGGCTAGCAAAATCGCAAGAGACCTCCTGGATGCTCGGAGTCTCTTTGGATGTGTCTTGACAGATTGTTGGATTCCTCTTGGAACGTCTTGGTGGCCTCGTGGCGGTCCTGGGGGCCTCTGAGAGCGTCTTGGGCGCCTCGGGAAAGCCTCTTGGAGCCTCTCGAGGGTCTCTTGGGAGCCTCTTGGGGACATGTTGCGGGCGCCTCTTGGGCGCCTCTTGGTGGGCACTCTTGGGAGCGTTGGGGGCCATCTTGGAGGAGATCGATCAAAGAAGGGGGGAAGTAAATTACAGCCCCCCCCAAGGAGGCCAAACTGGCCCCCCAAGCAAAAGTACCACCAATGATTCCTCTCGCTTCGCGGGGTGCACGTCCGGAGCACGTGCAGTCTAGTCTTTGCGGCCTCTTGGGGGCCTCTTGGGCCTGACTCTGGGGGGCCTCTTGGAGGCCGAGTTTCCCCGAAACGCAGTGCCATCGTCCAACCGCGGCAGCGCAGGCTTGGTATGCCCTGCCTGCTGGAAGTTTTAGTCCGTACCAGAGTGGCCTGTCGTTTGCGGCCGCATGAAAGATACAATTGGCGCAGTGTGCCGGTGTGAGACCTGCTCGCTTGCCGCCGCATGGGTTTCGCACGCCGTTCGGCCGTTTCGGCGTCGTCCAGAGTGCGTGTTTCGCGCATCGTGGAAGTCATCTGGTGCCTCTGGGGCCTCTTGGGGCCCCCTTTAGGCTGTTCGGAGAAGTTCGGAGCATATGCAATGCAGTCGTTTCGAGGCCTCCTAGGCCCCTCCTGGGGGACTCCTGGGGTCCTTTTGGGGGGCCTCCTGGGGGTCTCTTGGGGGCGTCTTGGACCGTCCTGGGGCAATTTAGGTTTCTCGGGGACCTTTTGGCAGCTTCTGGTGGCCGTCCTGGGGCTCCTCTCGGAGCCCCATGTGAGCGTCTTGGGCCGTCTCGGTGCGCTCTTGCGCTGTCTGGTCCCTTTGGAGGCCGTCTTTGTCTTGGGGCCCTTTTGAGGGCTTCTTGGGCCGTCTTGGGGCAATTTTGGAGGCCGCTTCGGTCGTCCTGGGCCTCTGAGAGTCGAAATAGGCGAGAACGTTTAAATCCTTCAAAACTCGATGGGAACCCAATGATTTTGGCCTCTGGAGGCGCTCTGAAGGGTCCTCTTGGGGTCCTGTTCGGGCGTCTTGAGGGCTTGCTGGGCCCTCTTGGGGCCATCTTGGGCCATCTTGGGGCCGTCTTGGGCCGTTGTGGGGCCATCTGGGGCCGTCTTGAGGCCCTGTTGTCGCGCCCGGACAGACCCCCCACTCAGACACGTCGATTGAGGAATCGTCCCGGGGCTTTGATTTTATTTTTCAAAACGTGCATTGGTGCGCACTCTCACGCCTAGTGCGTGTTGGCGTTGTGCTGATTGCAGCGGTTTTCGATTCGTCGCCGTGCAAACGTGCATGACATCGAACTCACGACGTGGAACTTGCAGTGGCCAGGACATCCCTTGCAAGGGGAACACAGGCCCGCGCGCGGCCCGCCTGGCGCAAAGGCAAGGGGGAGCATGCAAACGCATTGCGTTAAACTGTGTAAGAACGGTAGCGAGAGCAGGGGGCCCCACCAGGCAATCACATTCGAATGTGCACACTGCAAATTGCCTAGCACATAAGATTACGCATGTCAACAGTGAGACTCGCGACGCGCACATCGCGCCAACAGTTTTAGTTTTTGTTTCGTGAGCGGCGTGGGCAGACAATCGTTGCTATTACCTGTCTCTCCCATCGCCCTTGTACTGTCCCCCACTGCACTGTCAGACTGGTGTGTTCAGTCTACGGCATTACATCGCACGGGCGCCATAGCTTCGCAGGGTTCATGCCCTGTGCCGGGTCTCCATATTTTGAGTGAGCGGGTTTTGATGCTCGTTGCCAGAAGAGTCGTCGGCAACGCGTCTTGGGGGGATTTCGGGGAGTTTTTTATGTGAGCAGCTCGCGAATGCATTCGCCAATCCGTAGCTTTTTCTGGCAATTGGTTGTGGATCCACTTGCGATTTCTGGATGCTTATTTGTCGTCCATCCCGCGTTGCTTGGTTGATTCCGTCGCTTAGCCTACCAAACTTGCGTCCCTGCCGTTGTCCGGCCGATTAGCGCACTCGGCCAGCCTTTCTTGCGCCGCAGTTGCCGTCTGCTCGAGTGCTCTCGGCGATTGGGAAGTCTCGGGCGGCGGCGGTGTCCACGCGCAGCATTGTCGATATCGGGTTGGGGAGAAGCAGTCGCCGAAAAGATGGAGGGTCACACTGGAGGGAACGGGTGGCCACCCTAGCGCCACCACTAACGCCCGAGATCACCAGAAGGCAGCGCCCATAGAAGACAAATATACGTTTATGCTATATTTTATATTGGGCACCCTCATGCGCTTTCGGGTCATTGTGGGCGGCCCTTGGAATTTTCAGGCAAGTTCCTGGGGGTTTCTCGAGGGCCCGTCGGGCGTGTTTGTGGGCCTCGTGGGCGTTGTCGCACCGTCTTCGGCCGCACTGGGGTTACCTTGGAGCCTGGGGGCTGCGAGGGGCCGTCTTGGGACCCGCCGCCCACTGGCCCCCTTCGCGGGTTTCCCATTGGAGCGCTCTCGGGTTTCTCTTGGAGTCTGCGGGGCCCTCTTGGAGCCCTCCTCGGCTCCACATGGGCCCATTTCGGGTTTTCGTGGCGCCATCAGGAAGAGTTCCTGAGTCCCGCCACAACTACAACAGCGAAAAACCCCAAACCATCCGATTCACAGTACGTTTTGACAAATCTGTCCTCTTGAGGGCCTCTCGACGGCTGTGTTGGTTGGCCGCCCTCTGCGCTGCCTGGGGGCCTCTCTGGGCCGTGTGAGCGCCATCATTGAGCCTCCTGCCCATGGATCCCCGCTCTTGGGCTGGGACAGGCCTTCATTGGTTTATCCTGGAGCTCTCCAGGGGCGCTCCCGGGGGCGCTCTCGGGGGTCCTCGGTGCCCTCTTGGACCCCGTCTGGGCTTCGCGTGGGCCCATCTTGTGCGGTCCCATCGTCTTTCCTGGCAGGCGCCCGCGTCCTTGCCTTCGGACCTATGCGCGCTGCAACGGCGACGGGGCCAGACATCCATGTCATGTAGTTACCCCTGCGTAGCTTTTTTTGGCCCGAGCAACAGTGCCATCGTAGCGCCTTCTGAAACGAGCCGCCGCTTTCGCTGCCAGCTGCCACCGCCATGGGCCGCACGAAGGCCACCCTTTTGGAGCAGGTGGAGAACCTGAATGTGCGGGCAACGGAAACGAAACGCTTGGCGCAGAAGCGTGAGATCATGCTGGCGATGAAGAACCGCCCCTCCTGCATCGATGGCCTGTACGAGAAGTACACGTCCATGGGTTTGAACGCCGACGTCATCAAGACCCCGGAGACGCAACAGAAGTCTCTTTCTCAGAAGGCCGTCGAGAAACGCAAGGCAGACCACGATTTGCAGAGGTCCCAGAGCTTCGAGACGCTGAAGGCGAATGCCCTTGCTGATGCGGCGGGGTCCGGGGATGAGGACATGGAGTTTGACCCATTCGGCGAGAACTTCGAGGATCTTGCTTCGCTTCACGTCAATGAGCTGCGAGACCGCGTCCTTCCCGGCATCGAGCCCACCCACCTCAGTAAAGCAAACATTCGCAGCATGAAGGACCCTGAAGCCCGAAGCAAATCTGGCCTCCTCAAGATGATCACATTCGCGACTGGTTTGAACACGGACTTCAGGTTGGTCGGTCGTTTCGCATGCCGGAACCGTTTCGTGGCGTACGCACGCAAGCGGTCTCTGGAGAGGCGCCGCCGCGTGTTATCGCTGAGCTTGCCGCCGTCTTACTCGGACGAGGGTCTCGCAGCCGTCGCAGGGGCCTCGGAGGACGGCGTCACCGTGAAAAACCGGTACACAAGCGAGATGGTGACAGTGCCTAAAGCAAATTGCCCCCCGTACGATGATGTGTCAGACTTGTACATTGATTCAAATTGGTCCGAGAGCCAGCTGGCGCTCGCGTCCACCAAGAACCCAACAGGCGACCAGAAACACAACCTCTCCAATTATTTCAAGGGTTGGGCCGTCAAGGTGGAAGCCAAGGCCGAGCCTGCGGCCTCGCCGTCGGGCGGCGCGGCATCCAGGAAGAGGGGGCCTGGGGCGACGCCCCAATCTGGGAAGAAGGTCAAGCCATCGACAGACAATGCAGGTGGGACGGCGTCCGCCCAAACCAAGGTTGCGGCGGTTCAGCCGAAGCTCGAGGGCGGCGGTGTCGCCATGGATGATGCCGCCGAGGAGGGTTCGGGGAGCGAGGAGGCCAGCGTGGAGGGTGGCATGGCTGCGCCTGTTGAGCCAGGTCCTGGCGACTACGACGAGTCCGCGTTGGAGCCACCCAGGGCCACCGATTCAGGGAGCGGCCCCGTCCCGGCGGCGGCATGAGTTGCGAACGCATGGGCTTGCGGACAACCGTTTATAGCTGCAGAGGCGGGTTTTTTTTCGGGGAGTTGCTCGCCCTCTGCTCGCCCGTATAGCGCCTGCTATACACCAGCTGTAGGAAGCATCGGGGTTGGCGCTTTCGGTTGTTTGCATTGTTCTTCCCGTCTGCGGTAACCGTTTGTACAATACCTCCGTTTTCTCTGTCGCAGAGTGAGGTCCACGAGCTTGCACCGCTGGCCAGCGCGCTGAAATTCCGATGACCGTCACCGTCTGCCCCCGCCGAGCGTCAGCTGATTTCGCGCTTGTCGTTATGTTGGACGGGCGACGTGCGTTTTGTTTGCACAGTGGGAAGGGGGGGGGAGGGCAGCCCCGCCCATAGGGGGCAGAGGGCGGGTGCCCTTGAGGGCCTATGAGCGTCAGCCCTACACGCCCTATGAACCCTATGAGATCTGTGGGCCCTACGAGCCCCATGAGCCACATGAGCCCTATGGGCCCTAGGGGGGCCCTAGGCGTCCTAGGACCCCGATGAGCTCCCTGAACCCCATGTGCCCTATGGGCCCTATGAGCCCCATGAGGCTCATGAGGCCTATGCGCCCCGTGAGCCCTATGAGACACACAAGCCCTGTGACCCCTATGAGGCCTCTGAGCCCTAGGAGCTTTAGGGGCCCTAGGAGCATTAGGAGCCCTAGGAGCCCCATCGGCCTTATGAGCCACATGAGCTTTTGAGACCTATGAGCCCTGTGAGCCCCATGAACCCAACGAGTACCATGGGCCATGCGAGCCCTATGGGACATACGAGGCCTATGAGGCCTGTGAGACCCATGGGATTTGTGAGCCCTATGAGCCTTCTGAACCCTGTGAGCCCTTCGAGCCCTATGAGCCTCACGGGCCCTATGTGACGTATGGGCCCGATGAGCCCGATGAGCTTCATGAGCCCTATGAGCCCTATGAGCCCTGTGAGCCCTAGGACCCCGGCGAGCCCCATGAGCCCTATGAGCCCTACGAGCCCGACGAGCCTTGTGATGAGCCCTACGAGCCCTATGGGCCGTAGAAGCCTTATGGCCTCCCTGAGATCTATGAGCCATATGAGCCCCATGAGCCCTAGGAGCCCTAGGAGCCCTTTGCGCCCTAGGAGCTATATGAGCCCTATGAGGCCTATCAGGCCAGGGGGCCCTACAAGCCTTGTGAGCCCTACGAGGCCTGCGGGCCGTATGAGCTCAATGGGTCCCTTGGGCCCTACGATGCACCCTGGGATGAGCCCTATGAGCCCCATGAGCCCTATGAGCGTTCTGAGCCCGATGAGCCCAATGAGCCCTATGAGTCCTACAAGCACTATGAGTACGAACCCCACGAGCCGCATGAGCCCTATGAGCCCCATAAGCCATATGAGCCCTGAGCGCCCGATGAGCCCCATGAGACCCATGAGCCCCATGAGTCACACGAACTCTAGTAGCCCTGCGAGCCGGATGAGCCCTATGAGCCTTATGAGCCCTATAAGCCCGATGAAACTTCTGAGCATTGTGAGCCCTCTGAACCCTATGAGCCCTAGGAGCCGCAGGAGCCCTATGATCCTTATGGGCCCTTTCTGCCTTGCGAACACGATGATGACTATAAGCCCCATGCGCCCTAAGAGCCCTGAGAGTCCTATGAGCCCTATGAGCCCTATGAGCCCTATGAGCCCTATGGGGCCTATGAGCCCTATGAGCCCTATGAGGCCCTATGGCCCCATGCGCGCACGTACCGTGAGCACAGGGGGGACTCGCAAGTGGCACCAGACCGTCGGAGGACGCCGCCCCGCTAATCACTGTTCTGGCGGAGGGCGTCGCAAATTCACGTAAAGCGTTTTAATTGTCAGACTCACTAGAAGTATGCATCGAGTCTCGTGGCATGCCTCGGCCCTCCCAGGGGACGGACGGAACACCCTCGAACGGTACGCCAGAGCGTGCAAGTAAGCTTCCCGGTCCAGCCCAAGGCCTGGATTGGATGCACTCAGGGGGTCCGAGGGTTCACAGAGTTCCGAGGGCTCATATGGCTTGTAGGGCTCATGGGGACCCTGGGGCCCACAGGGCTCATAGGCCTCCGAGGGCGCAGAGGGCTCATAGGGTTCCTAACGCTCATGGGGCCCATGAGGCTCATAGGGTTCAAAGGGCTCACAGGGTTTACAAGGTTCCTAGGGTTCATTAGCCTCATGGGGCTCACAGGGCTCATCGGGTCCATAGGGCGCATAGGGCGCATAGGGCTCATACGGCTCCTGGGAGTCCTTGGGCTCATCGGGCCCACATGGCGCATAGGGCTCTAAGGGCCCCTGGGGCCTTTAGGGCTCATAGGGCCCATACGGTTGCTGTGGTCGTCGCTCGTGCGGCTGTTTCGTAGCAGCCGCAGTGTACTGGTGAGCTGCCAAGCTAGCCGATGTTCTCTTATTCCCAGGGTGCCTTGATCGTCCCTCGTGCTGTGGCTTCGGTGCAGCCGCAGTGCATCGGCGAGCGAGCTGGCCGCCTAACCTGTGTTCTCTCGTGTTGCCAGGGCGTCCATGGTCGTCCCTCGTGCTGCGGCTTCGGAGCCGCCGCGCTGTCCTGGCGAGCTGTCCACCTACCGGTGTTCTGTCATTCCCTGGGTGCCGTGATCGTCCTTCCCAGTTTTCGGCCCATTTTGCGTGGGCTTGGTGTGCGGGCGTCCGAGTAACGGTTTGGACGTGTTGGGCCAGTAATAAGAGCCCGACTTTCAGCCCTAGGTACGGGTTCACACAGCTCGTGCGGAATCGGAATTCACCCCCGACGTTTCGGCCACGTGTGCAGGACAGCCTCCGTCGTTGAGGCTCGAGCGGCCGAGTAGTAACTTCGTAATCGATTGACTTCCCTCCCTCTCTCCCTCCTTCCTTCCCTTCCTCTCTCCCGCCTTCTCCCCCCCCCTTTCCTCCCTCCCTCCTCCCTCCCCCCTCCCCTCCCCTCCCCTCCGTTGTTTGTTGCGTCCTACTTCGGCGGATCGCCGTCCAGACCATCGCTCCCAGAAGTGCAATTGGCGTAGGCTGTACGACCCCCCCGCTTCGGGCCAAAGAGGAGGGGGGGGAGCGGGAACAATGGGGAAAAGGGGGGGGGAAGTCAAGGGGGGGCACGATTCGTTAGCGCCTTGGTCGAGCGGAGGGGGGGGCAATTTCGTTTACACTCTGGTCGGGCGGAGGTGGGGTGGGGGGGGGGACCTCGATTTGTTAACATCCTGGTCGGGCGAAGACGGGGGGGGGACAATTTCGTTAACACCTTGGTCGGGCGGAAGAAGGGGGGATACGATTTGTGAAAACCCTGGCCGGGGGGGGGGGACACGATTTGTTAACGCCCTGGTCGGGCGGAGGGGCGGGACGATTTGTCAACACCCTGGCCGGGCGCAGGGTGGGGCACGACAGGTCTACTCCCCCCGCACCTCCCGTCACCGTCCCCCGCCAATGCGGGGTGTTAGAGGGAAGGGGATGGATGGTGAGGGGAAAGATGGGGCGGGCAGGAGTACGACAGGAGGCGGTCGAACGAAGGACGAACAATGAGGCCAAGAGACAGACTGCGCGAAGAGACAGGGGGACGAGAGTCGAACTAGTATAAGGATGCGTCACGCGCAAGGGCACCTAGAAGAGATGGAAGGGAGGCGACGGCAAGCATGAGGAATGGACGGGGAGAGCAAGAGACGGGAGGGGGGAGACAAGCAGTGATGGCATACAAGGCATCTCGGCTCAACGACTCCCGCCGCAGACCGGGGGGGGGCGGCTCCAGACCATTCGCGGCCCGATCCACATTAGCACATTGTGGTACCATCTCGCAAGATTGCCTGCGCATGGCTGCCAGCAGTGGCGGCTCTGGTGAGTCTTGCAATGGCGTCCTATGTCGCTTCAGTGCGTGCACCGCCGGGGGGAACAACCAGAGCGCCGCATGGAAAGCGTATGCTACAGAGCCTGGAGAAACGGAATTGAGGTGGCAAATCCTTCGCTTTTTGCCGAACGTCGGGTATACCGAATCAGGGAAAAAAAGATATTGGCGTCACATTTCTGATAATTTCACCCGTTGGGAAGCATTGTTGCAGCTCGCTCAGCTAGACGCGCCGGCCAACATCGGGAGGTCCCTCAAAAGCATCCACTATCGGCAGGAGGTGGACCAGCTGGACGATGCCAATGCGGATCATTGGGTGACGTCCGCAGCCCTGCTCTGCTTGCTGGCATCGTGGGTCAATGACCGCCGCCGCCTCGACATACGTTCGCAGTGCCGCGCGATACTGGTGGCGTTCTTGCAGAAAACCGTTCCCGTCGAGGCGGTGTCCAACGGCCCGCTATTGGAGTTGCGGCCGAGCACTTCTTGCCAGGCGGCTTGCAGGAGGCTCCCTATTGTGGACGATCGATGCCTTTGCCTGCAACAGTTGGTTGCTAGCGCCGCCAGTGGCCCCGAGCAGGTATCGCCACAAGCTCGCGTGGCTGATAAGTTAGTAGTGCTCCAGAAGGAGTCTGGGACGTGCGCGGCAGCCCGGCGTTGGTTTCAGGAGACTTTGCAAGCGCTGCAGCATATCGTCGACGACGCCGTGCATCTGTGGGGCGACTTCGATTGGCACAAAGGCTCCGACGCGAAGGTCGGAGGGGAAGCCAAGAGGAGGAGGCTCGATCCACACGTGAAAGTCATGGCGCTCCACACTGCTGTGGCCGACGGCTCCCAGGCCACGGGGGCTGCGTCTGCTCGCGCGCACGGCATCGAGGCTTCCGAAGGCGTGAAGATAATGAAGTCGGAGCAAGCGTGCTATCAATGTGCCTGTCACTTGTCGGCTGCCAGCTCCCAGCAGATCGCCGTTTGCGTCGACGGGGCCCGCATGGGCAAGCCCTCTCGCGAGATGCTCCTGGGGGCCCTGAGCTGCGTGGACACGGACGCCCACTTCATCTTGCCGCCGCAGGCCTGAGGTTTCAACGGCGCAGGCTGCCCAGCGGGCGGTTGCCCAGTGCACCGGCGCACCCGGCAGCGGATGCGGAGCGCGCCGGTGCACTCGGCGCCGGCTTCCGAGTGCACCAGTACACGCAGACCCCGGTTGCCGAGTGCACCAGTGCACGCCCTCGTCGGTTTCGCTAATCGACGTCTGCTTTGCCGGATACATTCATCATTTTTTACACGTCGATTAGTGACGCGCCCCCGGTGCACTCGGAACCGGAAGTCGGGGGCACCCGTGGCCCACCGGTTCACGCTTCGGACCCATCGGGGGGCATGGGGGCCGGGGCCGGGGGATCCCCGAAGGAGTTAGCAGGCATCCCGGGGCCGAGTAGACTGCGTTGCCAGGGCCCCGTGAAACAAACGCTGGCGCGCGCCCAGCAGGTGCTCAAAGACTACCACGAGACTGCCGGGAAGGATGCCGCACTCCTTTCGGAGGAGAGGCGGGAGGCTCTGCAGGCCAGCCAGGCTTTGAAGCTCAAGAAGATGTTCCAGGCAGAGCTCTCGGAGCGCGAGAGCAGGCAGCTCGACATGCTCGACACCGAGCTCGGCTACGATCAGATGCAGAGGAAGGCCAACCTGGCGTGGATGCGCGCTTTGGACAACATGCTCAGGGCAGGCTGTGGGAAGACGCTTTCCGATTTTGTCCCGAGGAGGAGGTTGGCGGCCCTCGGGCCTGGCGAGCGTAGAGAGTTCGTCAATGTTCAGATGCCGGATGGGTCCATGGAGCTCCGTTCTGTGATACAGAAGGAGGACGGAGTCCGGTGTTTCGAGCTGCCGAGAGTGGTGGTGGCGAACCGTCGCGTGCACCGTATTATGCACATCGCCTTGGACCAAGGGTCCACTGGATTGCCTTCGCTATTATGGCTCGCCCTTGGCAAGGGCTTGCGTTGCACGGTGACCTGGGACCTCTTTCATCGTCTTCACAACGACATGGCTGAGGCGCTTGCCCTTGCTGGATTGACGGTCATCCGCCTGGAATTCTACCAGGTTCTGAAGATGCGCAAAGGCCCTTGGAATGGAGATGGGAATTGGAATGTGTTGAGGGGCGCAGCTCGGGAGATGAAGACCACTCTGAAGGCGGACAATGCGTTGTTTGAGTTCTTGTATGAGGACTTGGTGCAGTCCCGGCCCGCGCTCCGCAACCGAGTCGATGTAGGCAGCGCGGAGCATCTTGAAGCTTCCTGGCGGTACGTCTGCGACGAGCTGCGGAGCATCGGGTGCCACAACGATGCCAAGAGAGGGCGCTGGTTCAGTTGGGAGAAGAAAGAGGTCCAGGGAGGCAGCGCAGTTTAAGTGGGTCGACCTGATGGGCCTCATGTACGTGGGTTTCAAACGGAAATGGTGGAACTTTGCGAACAACCCATTGCTCGGGGACCGCGCCCTCCTCGAGGACGCTGGCGATGAGGCCCTGCCTGGCGAAGGCGAGGCGGAGGTCGACGGGGATCTTGCAGCAGACCACGGGGGCGAGCCTGACGCTGCAGAACATGGGCCTTCGGACGAAAAGCTCAGCATGGAGGCTGCTCGCAAGGTGCCTGCACGTGTCAAGTGCGCCCGCAATCGCCAGCGGTCAGAATTACATTCGATTCGAGAATCCACCCAGGAATTGCACCCAGTACCCAGCACCGCCAGGAATGCACCCAACACCATAAGAAAATGCACGCAGCACCTGGCGCCGCCAGAACAAGCACCCGCACCGTCAGGAAATTCGCACCGCCAGGGGTGCACCCGGCACTCGGCACGACCCGAATTCGCACCCAGGACCATTGGGAAATGCACCAGGCGCCATTGATGTGGCGCACCGTTTCCGTGACATCTTGAGTGGCCATTCTGGGAGTCGGCCCGGCTCGTTAGGCGCCGACTCCGTGGCGGCCCCCTTTGGCCCCTCGCGCAGTCGACGGGCCCCCCACGCACTAATTCCGCGACATTCGGTCCGGCCGTTCGATGGCACGGTTTCCGCCGGTCGGCTGTCTCATTTGTTTCGGTTTTGGAGGGCATGTGGCCGGTCAGTGTGAGGCCATCGGCCTGGTGTGATGTGTTGTTTTGTTCCGGTTCTTCTGCGTTGTCCATCGCGCTTGACCGATGAGGTCGGGCGCGAGTGCCGTTGGAGCGGCAGCGCGCAGCGAAAATGTCACGAAATGCGGTCCTCAAACGTGGTGTGGTTGAGTCGAAGCGACGGGAAGGGGGAGGAGAGGGGGGGGGCGAGGGGAGGGGTGGGGCGAGCCGCGCGTCGCGCCCGCGGGGGGGGTGCAGGAACAGGGCAGATTTCCTTCCCCGTGCGTGCCCTTTTCGCTCTCCCCCTCTCCCCCTCTCTCTCTCTCTTTTTTCTCTCTCCCTCTCTCTCTTTCTCCCTCTCTCGCTTTTTCCCTCCTGCCCCATAGCAATCATGCCCAGAGCATGCGCGCGAGAGTTCGGCCCTGGCTCCGTGAAACTCGGCCGCCATAGCGGGGGGCGCGGGGGCCGCGTAACGGCAGCGGTGGTTTCGGAGGGGGTTGCGGAGAGAGGCCGCGGGGTTGTGTTGTGCAGCTGAGGGGCTCTGCTCGGCTCCAGGAAGCTGTCCGGGAATGTTCCGGGGAAGCCTACGGGAGGTGGGGACCTTGGACTCCGCCGCGGGCTCGGTGCGCCCAGGCGGCATGGGAGGGCCCCCAAGCGGCCTGGGAAGGGCACTGGGGGGCCCTCAGAGGCACGCCAAGTCGGCCCACAGAAGACTCTGACAGGAAACCCTTTGGTACCAGCCTCCCCTCACACGGCTCTGACTGGTAACCCTTGGGTCCTGGCCCGCCACGTGGAGGCCCCGACTGGTAACCCTTTGGTCCAGACCTCCCACCTCGAGGTTGTGCTCGTTAAACTTTTGCCCCCGACCTCCCGCCCCTGGGCTCTGACTGGTAACCCTGTGGCCCAGGCCTCCCGCCTCAGGGCTCAGACAGGAAACCCCGTGGCCCAGTTTCGTCGCCTGAACGCTCTGGCTGGTAACACTTCGGGCCATCCTTCCCGCCATAATGGTCTGACTGGTAACCTTTTTGGTCCACGCCTCCCACGTCCGGGCTCTGACTGGCAACTCCTTGGCCCGGCGCCCCCGCTTTCAGGCTCTGCCTGCCCGCAAGGATCCATGACTGTAGGGCTCCAGGCGGGCCCCCATGGCCCCCCGAGAAATACGAGGCGCGGCCGTTGCCAAATCGGGGAAGCCAACGGAAGTATTCAGTTTTTTTGTTATGGCGCACTGGGCGGCAAACCCGGTGTCGAATTTTTTTTGACATAGTTTCGGCATTCCATTGTTTTGTCTTGTGTGCGTTTGCGCATTGCATTTGTGAGGTTGTGCTCATACGTGTGAACGGCCTGCTCCAAAGGGCCGTTGTGTCGCGATCTCGGAGCCTGCACAGGTAGTCACCGAGAAGAGGAAACACGTCGCCCAAATACTTCAGTTTGCAGGGCTCACGTTGGCGAACAGCTTGAAATGCAGACTCTGGCAAGGCATGGCGCACTTGCCGCAGCCCTTGGAAGACTTCGTCGGCGCGGCAGTGGTCAAAGTCAAAACGAAGCAGGGCCTGGTAGAGCTGCACCGCGAATTGACTGGCGGAGTGCTGGTCGAGGTCGCCAGGGACATTTTGCTCAAATTCGTGAGCTCCGCCTTCCACGAGGCGTGCGAGTTCAAGGACAGGGTTGCGCCAACAAAGCGTGAGAAAGATGAAGACATGTCTGTCTTGAGTTGTTTGTGGGTCTATGCATGCAGGCTGTGCGGGGAGATTCTGAAGACCCAGCAAATGTTCTGGGCTCCACCGATGTGCTTCTTACCACTTGTCGACAGCGAGCCTGATGCGGTGAACGCATGCTTGGCCTCACTCCAAAAGTCATGGGAAGCACTGCTCCGACTGGAGACAGCAGCTTGCGCAGATAAGAAGTGCAAGACGTTCGTTGACGGCCTGCTGGCGCCTCGCATGCAGTTTGTTAGGGAGGCCTTTGTTCGCCTGGCCGAGACTGGTTTCAAGTGGGTACCCGACGATCTCAGGGAATGGTTGCACGGTATGCTTGCCTCTTTCCTCTCATCTCTCTTGAACGAGCTCATGGCGAAGAAGGGCCGAGAGGTGGCATCAAAAAACACCAGCAAGAGGATCGACCCGTGCACGCTGTACCACTCTCTATCGCTTGGAAGCCATCTGTTGGAGGACTTCGAGCGCAGTCCAGTACCCATAACTGGCGCTGCGCGCGCGGCCAGTGCCGGCAACGTGCCCACGGGATCCTTCTTGTTGGACTGCGACGCAGATTTCTCGTTGTCCCAGGCGGACGAGGACGCTTTCACCTCGAAGGAACCCGATTGGCCGAATGTGGGCCCAAGGTCCATCAGGCTTGGCGCCGTGGCCTGGCAACTGATGTTGTCCACCGATGGCGACTGGCGCGGGTGCGACCTAGGTTTCCTGAACCTCCTCGTCCAGCCCGGTTCTTTGATCATAGAGGAGGGCAGTGGCCAGGCAAAGCTGGCACTTGCATCCACTCCATTTGGTTTTGTCGCTTACCGCACTAAGATTACTCAGGCGATGTGGTTGGAATTCGCCCCAGTGGCGAAGGAGTCCTGCATGTTTGGTCGAATCGTGGACCCAAGCAAGTGGAAGGTCCTTCGGATCACGTGCAAATTGCCAGCCCGACTGGAGCTGACATCGCGTGTATCGGTTTGTTTTGGCATCAGGGGGGGAACATTGTCAGGGCATGTCTGTCGCTTTCCAGTTCGGCGCGTGCGCATGATTTGAGTTTGTTTGCTCGGCGCCAAACTTTGTGGGAAGGGCGGGAAACGCATGTCCTGTGAAATCCCAGCGGTCGGGCGAACCATGATATGAAGAACCCTTCCCGGATTGCCCGCCAGGCGAGCTCGGTCGCTGCGAAGCTGAAGCCTGCCGATTTGGATGGCGGGGTGCCTGCGGCCATGTGCCCGATGTTTGCGAAGGAGTCCGGGCACCTGTTGACGTATGCCGCCAGGCGGGGCTTCAAGGGTATGACTGTGGCCCACATGTTGCGTTTGTTCGACTACCTAGACGTGGCCACCAGACCGAAACCGCGCGCCGAGGTACCTCTTCTGCACGCGTTGGTGGCGCACGTGCTACAGGAAAAAGCCACACAAGGAGTCTTGAAGGAGGCTCTGCTGCGCCGACACGAGACTGATGATCTACCAGCTCGACTACGCTCTCAGGTCTCCGAGGTTCTCGGCCCCGAGTTTGAGGAGGACGTGGAGGAGGAACTGATGGACGATAGGGACATTAAGCAGCAGTGCGAGGAGCTGAAGGCAGCGAGAGCGAGGGCGGAGGTCAAACAGAAAAAGAACATGGCCGCAGCAACAGCGATGATTCCAGCCTTCCCGCCGCCTCCCGCTCCGGCCACGGCAGGCCCAGCGGGGGGAAGGAAGAGGAAGTTTACGCCAGTGCCTGCGACGGGGCTCTCCAAGGAGGAGGGGCAAGCCCTGTTGCCTCCAGGTTGCACGTTCAGCAAGGATTTGAAGGAGAACAGGTGGAGGATGAAGTCGCCTCATCTGGTGGGCGCGCTCAGCAAGTCGTATGGCCCAGCCAGTGCTCTGGATGACTATGGTGCGATGCTCTATCTTGTGCTGAAGGCGTGGAAGGAGGAGGGCCGTGTCAATGAGGTCGAGTGCCCATTTGAATTCGAGGGAGCCGGGCACTTGCTTTCACTGCTCTAGGTACAGGGGAGCGGCAGTCACACATACTCACAAGTCAAGGACACATTTCAGTAAGTAAGTCGTTTTCGCATGCGGATCTCATGCCGCGCATATTACACATGCGTCGCACCCACCACGCCTTCGGCATGAAAAAGCACATGCGGCACCGACACACCTGGAAATAACTCGCTGTAGTGCTCGAGTGCCATGCGTGCTGCTCCTCTGATTTCATATCCTTATGCTTGCGGTGGCAAGCGCCCCATGCAGCCTGTGATCAGGCAGGTGCTGGGCGCATATATTCGGGGTGCGCGCGCCCAGCCAGTGGCGAGGTCTTGAAAGCACGGCCTTGCGAGCTGCACGGTTGCAGGGGGCGCCGCAACCGCTGCCGCGGGGAAGAGCGTTGCGATCGACATCGCATCGAGATTATGCACCCTCACCGCCTTCCTTTCCGACTCGTTCCTCGCTATATCTTCGCGCGCCGTCCCCGCCCTCCTGCTCCTCCCTCGTCGCGTTCCTTCCTGTAGTCGTCGTTGCAGTCCTCCTCCTCCTCCTCCTGATCCATGTTCTTGTTGACCGTCTTCCACCACGGCACCCCTGCCCTCGTAGCGGTGCCTTCCGGCGTTGTCCCTCTCATGCTCAGTGCCCGATGGGTCGCGGGGCACTGGTGCTCTGGATGTGGCCGCTCTCTGCTTGGGCATTGGCGGAGCTCCCAGCGCATGCCCCGACCTTCCCGTGGAGGGAGGGAGGGATGCATGGGGCACCACCAGGCGCCAGATCCGTTCAAAGCGGTCCTGGGACCCCTTCTGGGGGTCCAAAGTGCACCAGTTTCTCGAGCCGCGTCCAGCCGCGGCGACCTCGACGCGAACCTCGACGTGAATATGCGTTGCCCGTTGTGCGTGCGGCGCCGGCTTGACGGTGGCCTTGTGAGGTGGGGGATGCGTCGAGGACGCCGCGGGGCCCATTGCTTGATTCTATGTTCGCGGATGGGATCGGATTGGCCCTCATCCATCGTTATGTGTTGTCCGAGGCCATATGGTGCAAGCTATGGTGTCTCAGGCAATATGGTGCTCCTCGTCCTCTCTCCACGCCTCCTTTTCTCGTGCTTCTCGTCCCTCCACCCTCGTGCTCCTAGTCCTCTTTGCCCGCGACGCTCGAAACCTCCAGTGCGGGAGGGATGCGTTGAGGAAGGGAGTGATGCATGGAGGTAGGCATGGTGGGAGGGGGGATGCATGGAGGGAGGGAGGGATGCAAAGAGGGAGGAGGAGGGATAGGTAGGAGGAGGTAGGAGGAGGTAAAAGGAGGCAAAGGGGGGCACGCGTGGTGGGAGGAGGGAGGCAGGATGAGGTAGGAGGAGGGAGGAGGGAGGGGGATCACTTTTATTTTGCGCTGCAACGTGATGCGTTCCGTCATTCTGCGTCGCAGTCGTGTGAGAGCAGGTATCAGTTCTGTTTCTCTCCCTCCGTCGGCCGTGGGGTGTCAGTGCCCCGCCACTGCTCGCCTCGGAGCGCCCGTGGCTTTCGCATCATCGAAGACGCTTGTGGCGACCCGCCACCGCCCCCTGCCTCTCTGGCTACGCCTATGTGGCCAGTCGGCGGGCCTGAGTTTGGCTAAGCTGTCCGGTGCGACCAAGCGGCGTGGGCAATCCGTGGGCGCATCTTGAGGGCGCATCTTGAGGCGATGGCTTCCATTTCGCGTGCGCACCATATGTTCGGCGATCGTCGCTCATCGTCGACTATCGATCGTC